AGGAACAACCAAGAAGTCACCTTTCTTGCTCATGTATGGCAGACAACCACGACTTCCAATCCATATTAAGACCTGGCCACAACAACAGAAGTGGACGACAGCAAGGTTAAGAAAAGAGAGGAGAGAGGCAATAAGGAACGTGGAAAAAAACAAATATCAGACACAAAGAAGGCAGAACAACAGAGGAGAACGTGGAAACCCTTTGCAGTGGGGGACCTAGTAAAGTGTAGAGAACGAAAAAGTAACATAGCAGGGGGAGCAGGGTCGGGGAAGCTGGCCCCAAAATGGGAAGGACCGTATGCTATCACGGAGAGACGCGGCTCGGTCTACACGATCCAGAGAGAAGACAAGCAGAAGCGCGTAAATGCTAGTCAACTACAGAGATGGTTTCAAGATCATCATGGGTGTGAATCACGAAAAGCACCAAAGAACACAGCGGTACGGAGATCAGAAAGACTACGACAGCAACTTGTTAAAAGGGGGGACGAGTGTGGTGCGTGCTACTTATATTGATATAAGTAGTATATAACGTGAGTCAAAAGAACGTAATGTCTGGCAGCAGAAGACGGAGAAGATCAAGAAAAGAAGAACGAGAAAACAATGGAATTTGTTAGAAACTGCATGAGCAATGAAATGCGAGACAGTGGATTGATGTTTGCAACAGCAACAGCCCGGTTCGATATGATAGAATGATATTTTGCAAATTAACGATTTACTATATGGTTTTTCTATTTTAGCAAGTAATTCTGTAATTTGTCCTAAATATAATTTGGCTGTCCTCACCCGTGTTCTTCTTCACTACAGATGTCTCTCCTTTTGCTTAAAATTTGTGTTTGCTAAAAATATACGATCGTCTGAGCACAGTTGCAACAGACAATCACCATTATCTGTTCGTTGTGCCGGTGTAGTAAAATACTCACCTAATTGCCTTTCTGTTTGGTTTAAACTACCTATCTGGGCATTCAAGTCACCTGCTACGACGGCGTAACAGGCGTAAGTAAGTAAGTAAGCTACGAGTACTATGTCTGAACGTTTAGCTTTCTGAAGAAGTTCAGATAGCTTTCTGTATAATTCATCTTTCATTTCATCTGAGATGCAGTCAATGGGAGGGTAGGGAGAAACGACAAAAAGGCTACGACGTGTGTCCCTATCCTTCCGAGTTCTTACGGAGCCGTTTAGTCGAACAGCACATAGACGACTGTTAACGGGGATCCACTCCTGCCAGTCCACGAGAGCTGGCCATCGGGTCACCAGATACACGGAGGATGTATCTCGTTGGCTCTCTGTGTTGTCGAGGTGAGGTCAAGTGAATGACCACACTGGGATCCTGTATGCGTGTTTCGGAGACACAGCATACATCAATGGTACGAGATTCTAGGATTCTAGCCAAGGAAGCCTGTTGACCGATTTGACATAGGGTGCGTACGTTGAAGGCTCCAATATGTAATTTGGAGCGAGGTTTCAGTAGATCTGGGACAGTGTTTTGAGCACTAGAATCGTTGGCTATAGTGACACTTGAGAGGGAAGCCGAAAGAGGAAGTTTAGGGGTGAAAGTCGATTTAGGAGGAATAATAGGAAGTGAAGACGGAGGTTGATTATGAATACAAAGGTCTCGAGTGCTGTTAGATTTATGAGGGCGGTTATCACTTCCCGGTCGCCTACACCGTGGAAGGGTTCTTCTGGGGGTACCTGAAAAGGAAATTGGATTAGAGGTGGTCTTAGTGACCTGGGAGCGTGACCGCATTGCCCAAGGGACAACTGCTTGAGGTCGGTCACACACGACCTTTTAATGGGTAATTTTTGTGTTATCTCCGTACTTGTTGAGACCTTTCCGCCGGAGACGGATATCCGTGGGATAAGGCGAGGTGTGCTTTTTTAGGGTCGAACTTTTCTAACCCCACCCCTCCCTGTGGGAAGGCAGCATCGCTGTCATGCTGGTTATCTGAAGGAAACACCTTACTGCTGTCACGCCTCTGTACAGTCAGCAGTACGACTTCGCCTTCGGACCTTGGGTTTGTTGCCTTTAGTCTTACTGCTCTTCAACCGACCTGTCTGACATGGTAGGGCCTCGAAGAACGGTTGTTCCAGCCAGTATAGCTCGGTTGCTTCATCACGATAGGTAAGCCCCACCACCACGTTAAGGTAGCAACAACGGTCGGGACCTTTCAATGTAGCTAAGCAAAGATGAAGTCAAGGCAGTAAGCAACTCAATACTAACCCATCTAATGCAAATTTGTCACAGCGCCAGTACAATTCAATAGCTTTCAATAATTTATCGGGTTAGTAATTTTCTGCTAAAGTCGGTATGACTTTATTAATCGCATAACCCATCCTGCTGCGTTTCTGAAAAGTGTACAACCTTTCGTTGTCAAAGTTACAAAAAACTCAATAAGAGACAATGTGGTTGCTGGCAATATACAACGAAAAGAATGCACATTATTCAGATGACATTCACTGAAGTGCTAACATCTAACTAGCGATCACTCAATATTTATCGCCAGGACCGACCAAGAAGAAAGAAACGGAAACTGGTTGAAATACTTTGCGCTGAGAATTCTATATTGTACCAAAAATATAATATTGAATAAAGCAGATAATAATAATAACCACTCAGATTAATAAACCAGAACTATACGTGCAGTTTTTATTTATTTAAACACATAAACATAGGTACAAGAAGGCACCAAATAGGTATGCGCCACATAAATCATTCAGTTTGTCGAATATTATTGTCTGTGTTATTTTTACTCACATATCTTTCTATCATTAATATTGGTTCGTCATTATTAATAATAGCCTCAACACATGAGTAGTTTAACTAACACCCGGCTCCACGTTATTATTTCTTGTAGGATTTTTATAACTTCATACACAATATAGTCTTCCTCCAAACATTTAGTTGGATTAAGTAAATAATATATATGTAATTTCCTAATGAGTTGAAAAATTAGATTTCCTGACGTTTCGTGACACGGTGTAAGCCACTTTTTCAGATAATAAATAAATAGCTAAATCAAAATTATCAAAAGGGGTTTTATGGAGATTTTAGAAATTTCACTGGTTGAAATCATGAGTCAATTGAAGCTAGACCACCATGGAAAAACTGAAAAAACTGTACAGCCGTTTCGTCCCAGTATGGGACTGCTCAGCAGTGCGCATCCACGATCCCGCCTCCCGCGAGATTCGAACCCAGGACCTATCAGTTTCGCGTCAGGCGCTTAACCCCTTCTGATAATAATCATCTGCTCACTGGTGACTGACTTGAAGAGGCATTTCCTGGAGTTCTAGTGAGAAGCCGTTACCAGTGGAGTTCAACCAGGTCTGTTGTGAGATATCAACTCACTGAAGACAATGGTGTACGGTGGCGCAACTTCGTGGATTGGTTGAAGTTAGACATTAACACCGTTGGATGCCGACTCAGTGGTCTAATTATGAGGTGGTCGCGCGCGACACTGATAGGTCCTGGGTTCGAATGTCTCGAGAGGCGGGATGGTGGATGCGCACTGCTGAGCAGTCCCATACTAGGACGAAACGGCCGTCCAGTGCTTCCAGGTTTTCCATGGTGGTCTAGCTTCAATTGACTCATGATTTCAACCAGTGAAATCAAAATTAATCCAAGTTTAAATAGCACAAACTAAACAACAAAAATACTATGTGATAAATCTAAAAACAGGTCATTTCAGTCATGGTGATTCATAAGCGTTATGAATGTAAATTCCTGTCTATGTAAGCGTGCACTGTTAAGGATGAATAATGCGTGATCTTTATGGTGAGAAAGGATTTTCAACGTCCACCAGATCGACGTCAAAAATATTAAAATATTACAAAAAAGGTTTTTCAATTACAAAGAAAGGAGAGCAGCTGAAGCGTTCCATTTAATGCTTAATCCTACTGCTCTCAATTGCAAAGAAGGCCTTAACATACATCCTACATGGATAATCTATCGTAGCCACCTAGTCTGACATTATTCACACTTCACACTATCTTACAAATTAAACTCTATCCTTTCTCCCCATAAAGGTCACACATTTTTCATTCTTTACAGTGCACACTTACATATACACAAATTCACATACATATGGCTTATGAATCACCTTGACTGAAATGACATGACATTGATTTATTCAGACCTCTTGTTTGATTTATAATATTTTTGTTGTTCAGTTTGTGCTATTTAAACTTGGATTAATTTTGATTTGGTTATTTATATCTAGGTTTGTTAGGTATCTATTAGCAATTACCAAAGATATCGCCACTAATCTACTCCTGTCAATAATGGGTTTTTGTAGTTTCAACAATTGTTTAAATCCTAGATTTCATAGTTTTGCTATCTATCGGATATCACTCAGTTATATCCAGCGTAGAACTTGGCATAAATATGCCTCTATTCAAGTTTCCTCATCTCATCATAACGGTGAGATGAAATTATCTAGACAAATTCCAATGTAATATGAATAGTTCGCTTGGTATTGTTTTTGCTTGTATCTTCCCATTGAGGCTTAAGACTGCAACTGATCAGTCTGTTATTGGCATATGTGCATACTGTGCGTATGCCTTGATATTGCCTTAATTCACTAGTTTTTATAAGCAAAGATGGATAGTAGCTAGCAGTGGAATCCAGGACTCGCGTTTCGTCCTATATGGGACTCGTCAGCTGGATGTACCTGCAGGAAAAAGTAAGTATAGAAAGAATAAAAAAAGTATAGGATTTCGGAACCCAATATCCAAGGATAGACAAAGAACGAATGCCCCTATGTGCTTGTGAATGATTCTAAGCTACATCACCTAACATTTTCAATCACACGGGTTACGATAATTGCAACGAATCCAAACCAGATAGTTTGCATCTACCTACATGGTTCAGTCAATTTGGTGGATGGGTACATATAATAAGTGTCCCGACCACTTCAATCGATAAAGATTTACTACATCTTTACGTAATACCCCATATCTTGGAATGGTGTAACACTGTTTTCACATCTCAGAATATATCCTATTTTATGCAATCTAAAAGTGTATGTTCCCTATTTCAGAAAACGCTATCTATCTAGGCGTATGCTTTCCTTCTAATTACTTTTGGTTATCTCCAAATTATTATTACCGCTAACGTTGAATTGCAATATTTACTGTTGTAGGAGTAAATTGGAAGAGAATAATTATAAAACACTGAGAATACCTTATTCATCCTTATTTAGTACATCTCTATAGTATGTACCCCATCAAGGGGTCGAGTCTGAAACAATGAAGCCTTACGGAGAGCATGAGTCCTATGTCCCTATTAAAACTGAACTTGAAACCGAGGGAAACAGATTTCCTTAATGTAAGGAATGAAATAAAAAATGTTATCAAATGAAGATTTTATATGACAATAACATCAATCAAATACACTCTATTATATACAGATTTTACTGGCATTTAATGATTAGCCAGCGAATGTTCGTAACTGAAATAATCTAATTAATCTATAATTATGTAACTAAATGTCGTACTGAACAAATAAAACATTAAATTAAAACATGATCTGGCATTTATTTTGTCCTGAAATTCAATCTTTTTCGTAGGTTGAATAATATTTTCATTTGTCATCTACATCGTACAAATCTCAGCAATTTCCTGTTGCTATAAGCCCAGCTTTTCCACAGTTATAACAGACTCACTGAACTGGAATCTGTTGGTGTTTCATATTTTCAACTTTAATTGATCTATGATTCATCACGCAATTTATCACTTTATATTATCAATGTTACCTGTTGCATTTTCCTTACCTTAGGTTAACCAATCGGTCATAGCGTCTTATTTTTAGAAATCCTAGCTTTCCTCAAATTTAATCACTTGTGAGTGAATCAAAATTGTTATGATTAACTATAAAGCATAATCCCTTTTCCCATTTTAATGAAATTTCTACTGTATGCTTTCCTGTTATTACTTGTTTAGGATTCAACGCTAAGATCATTTACTCAGTCAAAAAACGATACTAAAAATAATAATAATAATTCAAGTGTTACACAATTAAAACACTTTCAGTTACCAAAATCATTATATATCAATAACGCTTCTTCTCATACCCCTCCTAATGTTCACATTGATATGAAATTAAGCATCGACACGAATTACTCCAATATTCGTAACATTATTCTTTCAGATTACAATAGAAAATTGAAATATCAATGCAACACTATTCGTCAAATTATTAATAATAGTAATGGTGATAAAATTTCAGATAGTTTCACCAATCTGCCAAATGATTATAATTTATTGTACAAAAATCGTTCAGCACCCAGTAAGTGAAGCTTGCTTTTTGATGTGTTCGTACTATTTTATTGTCTGTCATTCACTCTTCGTGTAAATTTATTTTAACATGAACACAAGTTTCTGATATAAGCAACGTAAAAACCTAGCATATATCGGCAATCAAGTTGCCACACCTTTCGGTATAGTGAGATGAAATTATTAAGAGAAACGACGGATTAGTAAAAAAAAGTATGGTAACAGTATTATTGATGGTAGAAAAGATTAAGCATCATAGATAAAATGATTCGAGAAGAATGAATTTGTGAAATAAGAAGTATAAATGTTTTGTGATTGCGCGGATTTCAATCACGTTGTCTGAATCTACCAGTTAATAACTTCGCATAGTGATATCATAAGTACAAAATTATGTACTTGGCTTTGAGCTGTATGTTTCCTGTATGCCTATTAGAAAAAAGAACTAATGTTATTACTTGGTGATGTGAATTGAAATAAATGGAACAGGATCCAGACCTGTGTCCTGATAATTAAAATAAACCTATTTAGTGGTTAAACCATTACTTTAACTTAATTTCTATTGATTTTCTAAGTTAACTGTACTATCTTGTCTTTATCCCAATATCCATATACTGATGAAATAATACAGATCCATTTAGTTGCTCGGAATATTCTTTAAAGTTAACTGTCCAACAAGCAAACAGATAGTAACCTTATATCTCTTATTTATTATGACTGTGATTTGAGGTAGACATCCTTAACAATACTTAAACGTTTTTCCTTACGCCTGTTACCCCCCACGGAGGAGCATAGGCCGCTCACTTGCATTCGCTATCAGTCCTGGGCAATCCCTTTCATATATGCTTCTATTTCCCGAAGTAATGTGCTCTTTAGCCTTCCTCTTTTTCGTGTACCTTCAGGATTCCAAGTTAGGGCTTGCCTCTTGGTGCAGTTTAGTGGTTCCCACAATGTGTGTCCTATCCACTCCCAACGTCTTTTCTTAATTTCTTCCTCAGCGGGAACCTGGTTTGTCTTCTCCCACAGTAGGCTATTGTTGATGGTATCCGGCCAACGGACATTGAGTATCTTGCGTAGACAACTGTTTATAAATCCTTGTACCTTCTTGATGATGGTTGTAGTAGTTCTCCACGCTTCATCTCCGTACAATAGGTCTGTCTCGACATTCGTGCTGAAGATTATTACTTTGATATTGGTTGACAGTTGTTTTGAGTTCCATATGTTCTTCAGTTGAAGGAATGCAGCCCTTGCTTTCCCGATCCTCGCCTTGACATCTGCATCAGATCATCCACGTTCATCGATGACGTTACCCAGATACGTGAAAGTGTCAACCTCTTCCACAGTTTCTCCATCAAGTGTGATTGGGTTGGTGTTCTTTGTATCTTATTTGAGGATCTTGCTTTTTCCCTTTTGCTACACTGTTTGTCTTGACCTGCATTTGTTGATGTGTATGGGATAGAAGGGCTTCGTCATCCGTAAAGTCTGAATCGTCTAGTTGCATTCAACCTGTCCATTTTATTCCGCGCTTCCTCTGTGGTGTGGAGGTCTTCGTAATCCAGTCAACTATCAAAAGAAAGAATAAAGGGTGAGAGTGAACAGCTTTGTCTGACTTCGGTCCTCACTTGGGTTGCGTCTGTCAGCTGTCCTCCATGCACGACTTTGCATTGAAGCCCGTCGTATGAATTCCGAATGATTTTGACGATTTTCTCAGGTACTCCATAGTTTCGGAAAAGTTTCCATAATGTTCTCCCATCCACACTGTGAAATACTTACTCATAATCAAGGATATTGATGTGTAGTGACAAGTTCCATTCAATTGATTGTTCGACGATAATCCATAGTGTCACAATTCGGTTTGTGCACGGCCGATCCTTACGGAATCCAGCCTGTTGATCGCGAAGTTGCGTGTCTACTGAGTCCTTCACCCGGTTCAGCAACTTCTTGTTGGAAACCTTTACTGGTACTGACAATAGTGTGATTCCTCTGTAGTTTTCACATTCGCTCAGATCTCCTTTCTTTGGTATCGCGATGAGGTATCCTTCTTTCTAGTCTGTCGGCACTTGTTCCTCCTCCCAACTCTTCTTGAATAGAAGGTGAAGCATGTTTCTAGTTACTTCCATGTCTGACTTCAGTGCTTCAGCTGGAATTTTGTCGGGTCCTTCTGCTTTCCTACACTTGGTTTGTCTGACGGTCATCCTGATTTCCTCGATCGTTGGTGGTGGGACATCTATGAGAAGGTATGTGTGTGCTGCTTCGATATCCGGTGGGTTCAGTGGGGCTGGTCTCGAAGTACTCTACGCATCTGTCCCGCTGTTCTTGAATTTCAGTGATTGGCCTGCCTTTCTTTGTCCTTGACCGGTTTCTCTGGTTTACTATATCTCCCTGCTGGTTTCTTCGTTGTATCGTAAAGCTGTTTCATATTTCCTTCTCTTTCAGCTTTTTTCGCCGTCGTTGCTAGTTCTTCCATGTATTTTTGCTTGTCGGCTCTAATGGTCTTCTTCACTTGCTTGTTTGCTTCTATGTACTCAGCTTGTGCTTGGACTTTCTCTGCTCGCGTTCGGCTGTTGTTAATTACTGTCTTCTTGTTCTTCCTTTCTTTGATCTTGTCCAGCGTTTCTATAGAGGTGCATTCCTTATGTTGATGCTTCTTGAGACCCAGAACCTCCTAATACGTTGAGGTTAGTGCTTCTTTGATCCGTTCCCAGTTGTCCTCCGTAGTAGTTTCTTCTTCTTTCAGTAAATCCTGTAAGGCTTGGAACCTGTTGTTGAGAGTAATCTTGAATTTGTTGAGTTTGTCAATATGTCGAAGGAAGTCTGTATTGAACCTGTGTAATGCTGTTTGTTCAGTTGTCCATTGCTTCTCTAGCTTCAGTTTTAAATTGGCAACCACCAGCTGGTGATCTGAAGCTGTGTCAGCTCCTCTCCTGGTTCTCATGTCTTCCATTGACCTAGTGAATTTTTTACTGATGCAAATATGATCTATCTGGTTCTCTGTGGTGTGGTCCGGTGAGATTCACGTGGCGTTGTAATTACCTCGTTCTCTTTATTCGAAGGATACTTTGATGAGCCTGCGTCCATGAGACTCCCATCCTATAGGTGCATTTCGTGCTTCTTTGAACAGCACCAGAGCAACATCTGAGTGTGTGGAGCATTTTGTTCTTCGTGACCAGAGTACAGCAGAATCTCTCCCAACTCTTATTTGTAAACACGTTTTGTTTAGAATTTGCCGTGGTAGTAGTAGTGGTAGTTGCATTTACCTTCAGTGTATATAAATATATACTTTAACGTGTAAAGAAATATAATATTGAGTGTGTTTACTCTCAAGACTTTACTTATTATTTAATTTGTAGCATTATTTGTTAGTCTATTTTTGCTAACCCTTTTTATTAATTAACTTTCTATTCACCTTTTTGGTTTATTCTCCCTCTCGTTTTCTCACATTTGTCTTTTTTATTGTGATATATATATATATATATATATATATATATATATATACCGCAGTGTTTAAACAATTCATTTTATTTTATTGAAGTTGTATTGTTTGTTGCTTGACTGGTCCTCTTGGTCTCCCACATTATCCGGACGTTCCATGTACCTATGTAAGTTGTTGCTCTTGTTGCTAGAAAGGGCATCAGTTTCGTGACTTTTGTGGAATCTCGGATTTCATCATGAGGCGTCATAATTCTCCCTTCAACTCGGAGGGCAGAGTTTAAGTGGTTTAAATCGTTTATTCTGGTTAGCGTTTTCTTAGAAAGGTTGTTTTCTATTGGATGGAGTTGTCGATCCCACACCCAACCCTCCTATTTTGCCGAGTTTGAGACCGGCAGTAACCCTTGAAGAGCTACAGGTGGAGTTCTCCTTTTTGATAGTTCAAAAATATTATCACTGTTTAGTTGAATGCAGATAATTGGTTTTGAGAAGAAAAAGTCGGAGTCGATTGATATCTAAGTTCGATAAAGAAAGAGTGTTATTTTGTTGAAACCCAATAATTACTATTGGGTCTGTGTATATTTAATTCATCCACGATGTAAATTATTCCAATGTGTCTATCTTTTTCATTCAATGTCACTGTTCTGTACTGCGTATTCTAATCTTTGAGTCAATGAAATTTTACTTAAAAATATCTATTGAATTTACTTAAAGTGTTGACTTGTTGATTCAACTAAATTAAACAACTTAGTGAAAAAAGCATCTAACACTTAAATATTTACAACATTATACATCTTTTGCCTTATTTTTATTTAGTGGTGTCGTGTTTTACAATTTTAACGGAGAACAACTTAATATTTCACTACGTATACATCACATTTGATGAACATATCGATATTCTATCACCTAACAAACTACTGATCGTACCGGTCAAACCTTCTATCGGCAATTAATTTGTCACAGTATAAGCAGAAAATTCTGTGTCCAACTAATTCTTTATCAAAAATTGGAATATTGTTTCGGCCTACTTTTTTGAAATACTAGTTAACATTACTAATTATCAAAAGATTTAATTCATCCTTCACGATTCATTCTTTAAGTAATTAAACGTATAATTTGCATTAAGTATACTTAAGAGTTCTTTATGCGGACAATATTTACATAAATAAGTAACTTTCGCGTACGAAAAACGTGGAAAGTTTCATGAAAAATTGATTTCAACAGTATTTCATAAAAATTACCTCGATCCGTAAACTTTAATGATGTTTTTCGATCTGCTTTCTTCGACTTAGACAAATATGCATCTAAAGTTTTATAGAAATGATAGGATCTTCCTAGTTTTAAAGTCAAGAACTGATCTTAGTTAGACCACCATTCAAAACCTGGAATAAGTGGATGGCTGTTTCATCCTAGTATGTACCAACTCCTCAGAAATGCGCTTGAAGTCTCTGCTTCCGATTATTAAACCCAGGACTTTCGATCTTGTGCTTAAATGCTAATAACTTTTCCTGAGAATTACCTTGATCTGTAAACTTTCAAAATATTTTTATACTTGCTTTCTTCAATTTAAATAAATATACATATGTATATACCGTACATTTGTGATTATTATTTTTTAGCAAATGAACGACAATTTCCATTGTATATTGATGCATCAGCTTGTACCAGTAATAATAATGTTTATGATGAACCATCCATACCAGAATATAGTTTGTGTAATGAAAGTTTTTTATCAGCATCCAAACCAGAAAAATCTGGAATGGGAAAATTATCTCCCCATACTACATTTTATCAACACCATCATAAGACTAACATTACTAATCATGGTAAATTTGAACAAAATGCTCTCCTTACAAGACCATGTCATCGACCTACAGAACAATCAAACAGTTTCGATGATCGTTTAACTGTAAGTATCAGAATTTAACGAGATAGTTTGGATCTAATCATCTTCCCCTTCGCTTTCAGTTTTCTCACTATCATTATTATTTAACAGGATATCCTAGATCCATACTTTGTTTGTTTAACTAAGACTTATACGAAATTACACAAATGAACATGTGCTAAGTGTAAGCCAGTGATATTACTGTATCGATCTTTCAGATCATAACTGGAATGTAAAATAACGTTCAAAAAGGCTGCTAAATTGCCAATTATGTATGAAATTTATTTTTTGCACTGAATTTATAGAAAAGCACACGCGTTAATTATAGATGAAATAAAGAAGAAACAGTGTCATTCATTTCAATAATCCATACTTGTAATGACAGATTTTGTATAAATTTTTCTCATTATTATTACTGACCAGATAAATAGTTTTTCAATGTATGTGCAAATTAGAACTATTACTGTCCATTTAAGCTTGAACAATGGATTGTTATCTCATATATATATACACAAAGAGTGGATGCACTTGCGCCATTGCAAACGATTTTGAGTCATGTCATTCAAGGTCTCTAACCATCGGTTGCTATCGTCTCGCGGATCCCAACCAAGTAGTCTACACCTACCAACATGATTAGCATATAACCCTTCAGCTGTTATTTTAATATCAACATACATTGATGTTAGCCTCAAGATGTCAATAATCGCCGGTCGATTTAACGATAGTACAATGAACGAAGACTTGGTTAGAGTAAACCAATTTTTGTATTATGCAAAATCACACACCGTATTTGTAAAATATGAAAACTGTACATAAAATACACTATTTACCCATCTTCATTGAGTTTCCCCTTACGAACTTCATCATTCTTTCATTCCTATCGCTATTTCGACTGCTTTCTGTTTTCCTTTCTTTTCTGTTCATTTTCCTCTTCTATCCGTAACAATTATACTTTCGATTCCTGATCCACACTACTTATATTTGTCCGTACAAGTAGCACACACCATAGTAATGAACAGTAATGGTATTAATAATTCAAGTTTAAGCATCACATTTATCAAATATATTAATTTTGACTAGCATTATGTGCACATATTCTTTAGAAGTGCGCTCTAAACCGTTTTTTTCTTGAAGTCATTTTAATATTTATTTGTTTATAGATGCATGCAAGACCTCCTGATTTGATTAAGAAAAAGCCGCTTATCGATTTGCCTGTCTCATCATTATCTTCGTCGACTAGAATAGTGGAATCATCCAACCATGTCATGTCACCTTCATTATGTAATAATCATTTGAATAAGAAATTAATGTCGAATGAAATTGACCGTTGTGAATCAATAATGCTCACAATTTACTTGATTGAATTGGACAAAGTCGATAATCAGTCAAACCAATCATTATCATCATCATTATATTTATCCAATATTCCACAAGAGAAAATCTATTCACTACCTATTCATAAAGGGAAAGTAAGTTGGTGAAATTTGGTGCGTGTGTGTGTGTGTGTGTGTGTGTGTGTCAAAAGCGTTTTTTCCTAAATTTAATACATTCCTTATGGAAATCATTATTTATTTATTTATCCGTATATTTTTACGGTTCTCTAGTCAGTTAGTTCGTTAGTAAACCAAAGATGACGGTGTCAATTGACGACTTTTTCTTGATCTACTGTATCAATTAAATTATCATGTTAAACGTTCTCGCACCGGATTGAAGTTCCTGGGTTTGACTCCCGATAGTATGGTCGTATATTCACATTATTAGGAAAACTCATATTAGAACAAAATAACTGTTTAGTGCTTCTTGTTTTTCAATAGTGAATAACATAGGAAGAGTTTACAAACTTGGTTACTGTGTCGACTTAATTCCGTTTCACTTTACCAGTGATTTTGACTAGTGAAATCACCTGCGTTCGCACGCGAGACTGAAGGCCCTGGGTTCGAATCCCGCGGATGGGATCGTGGATGCGCACTGCTGAGGAGTCCCACAATGGGATGAAACGGCTGTCCAGTGCTTCCAGGTTTTCAATGGTGATCCAACACCGATGAGTTCATGATTTCAATCAAAAGTATCCTTTACTCACCTACATTTCATATGTTTTTCTTCGAAGTTGGATGTCTGTAAAAATGAACCAAATTGTATTAAATTTACTTATGTAATCTTTCTTCATACAACTCATCTAGTACAGATTCATGTAGTCGGTTTTAAGTCCTACTTTACTTATGGGAGCCAAGTTAGCTATAATTATTATTCGTGCTATGACGTAGATATGTAAAAGTTTAAGTTGTGCTGTTGTTGAGATTCGCGATTGAATCTCGATTAAGCTTGTATACCGTGTACGAATTGCTTCTATTTAACTATTTTATCGTACGTTTTATGAAATAGAATTATTATGATTAACAATGAGATTCAGAAAACAAGTTTCGTCTCATCTAGGACTAGTTTCGTTGGTTGTACCTCCTTCCGAATGTTAATGTTTACTTCAGTACTAGAACAAGTACTTTCCTCTACAACCCCTTACGCGTTATGCACTGAGTTACTAAGTCCAAGTGTCCATCAACATATCGTGTACTAAATTACATAAATATCTGGGAATTCCAGTTTCTCAACTCTGGCACATCCAGCTGATGAGTCCTGAACAGTCTAAAACGTGCATCCTATATTCCTTTGTTAGGATGCACGTTTTATACTGTTTTCTATTGTTGGCCCTAAATGCCCTGGTATGGCCTAGAGTGGGGTGGGCTCGCCCTCCCTCTCGAAATGCTCTCACACTACCACGCGTATACAGTCTCTGACAGGGAAGTCCTACTCACTGCCTTCTCGTGGCGGGGGTGTTGTTTACGAAAATGAGAGGACAAAAAGCGATTGCCCGGCGCTTTGACCGGATCCCAAACCAACGGTGCACATGGGCTCCAGTATCTTGCGAGAACAAATGGCGTATGAACCAATTGTTGGTCACCGGCTACCATGGGACTGCATCTCCTCATGATGCTTCACTGCCTTGTGGGTTAGACTTTTAGGTCAAAGGCTCGGAGTGTGGCCCCCTAAGAAAACCACCTGCTTCGGTCTGGACACCCGGGCAGCATCACAGCCCTCACACATATCAAATGAGATCTGTGTGACGCATATGTATTTGGTGCCTCCCTGTACCAATATCTATGTGTTCAAATAAAATAAATTAATAAAATAATTCCTTTGTTAGTCACAACCCATCTTTATTGTTATGATCATAACTATTTATCCATTATTCTCTGTGAAATACTACTGATTTTCATTCTTTCTATTTTTCGCCCTAGTTTTTCTCTCATGGTTCTCTCTCTCTCTTTCTGCTCTCTAAATCTATTCGTTTATCATTTACAACATCACAGCATCTGAATTCTGCATCAGTATCATGTTTCTCTATTTATGTTGATTATATCCTGCGAAAGTATTTAGCAAATAAATAGGAGATTATATGATAAAAATTGCTCAAACCATAAAGAAAACACTATATGAATATATTATGTCGGTGGGAAAGTTTTCTAAAATAAGGAATCCAAGTTACGAATAAAAATTAAAAATTGAACTATGTTGAATTTTCAATTAATAGTACACTTATCCTTAACAACATAACTGACTGAGACATATTTATGTTAAGTGATGTAAGTTTCTTCTTATCTCCTAACTAACTGATTACCCTGTATCGATAGTTATTAGTTAATGTATCTGCCATTGTTATACGTGAACGAATGCTACTTTATTTTCTGTTATGGGATTGTTCAGCAGTATGCACCCACGACCTCACCATGGTCTGGATTAATTCTTTCCCAGTTTTTTGACGAGTCTTCAACGATAAGAACCACTGAGTAGCCTTCGAATAGAACAAATTCAACCTCAATAATTCTCAGATGTAGCGCGATAAAAAGTAGCTACATATATGAATATGAGTGCTTTATGAATCAATGCTCAACTGTGAGTATATTTTAAATATATAACAGGATGTTATAAAATTATATGACTTGCTGATATTTTGTAGATCTGGTCAAATTATTTTAGATAAAATGTGCTTTGTTGAGTAAGCAATTCTGTTTTTCTGTATACATTTTTGTTGAATCGTTAGATCGTTATTGAACGCTACTGTTAGTAGAGTTGTATCTGAACTTTAAAATTCTCAGGTTTCCCGTTTTCTATCTCATAGCTGTTCTTCTTGCAAAGTTACAAGTTTTACTTGTTCTTCATAGTTCTTCGAGTTTTTTCCTCTTTAATTGCATTATTTTGTAGATATCTTTAGTGTTGTGTGTTTCATTTTATTTATAAACAAATTGAACTGTTATAAACCTTTAGAAGTGAATTTTTATTGATATTCATTCGACTACTGTGCTGCGAGTTAGTGTTTATGGAAACTTCACTGAAAAGTGCCACAAACTTAACTTTCAGGTCTTCATTGATAGTCCATCATTGATCGATTCATGATTTCAATGAAACTCAACAATTTCCACAACCATATACTGATAAACTGAAACTATCATCGACTTCTTAAACGTTTTCCTACTGATTGTAATCACTTGTACCCCAACCATGTATTCTGAACTCAGTGATTAAGGTGGGTACAGACAACCTGGTTAGAATCTTCGGAATTATCTTATGATCAATAGTTGAAGGTGTTGGTTAACATATCTCATATTCAAACATTCATTCATATTCAATTTATTCTTGTTCTTGCTCTAGACCATGACTTTTAAAATTATCCTATACTTTTTATTCAGAAAATTTATCTCAATCCATATTGTTTTTACGTAGTCTTTTCTTACTACTACTTTTATCGCAACTACTAGTTCTTTTTATTCACTTTGAAGGTAAATCATATACCAACACTGATAGTATGATATATATTGAATGAACTCGAGTTTGAAATATTCAACCATCGGACTGCAACTCAACTCCTGGGTTCAGTCTTTAATGGAGTTGTGGGTGCGCATTTTTGAGGAGTCTCATACTAAGATGAAACGGCTGTTCAGTACTTCTTAGTTTCTAATGCGTCGTCTAACACAAGTCACTAGTTTTCGTACTACACAATTGAAAATGTTATAAATAAATAAATAAATAAATAAATAAATAAATAAATAAATAAATATATATATATATATATATATATATATATATATATTTGAAAAATCAAATTCCCTGATGTTTCGTGACTCACTGTAAGCCACTTCCTTAGGAAATAACCAAAATCAACCCAAGTTTAATTAGTACAAGGCAAGAATATTAGGTGCGATCAATCAAAAACCGGTCTGATCAAGTCAATGTCATGTCATCCCGGTCAACGTGATTTATATGATGCATGTTGGTGTGTGGGTGTGTGTATGGTAAAGGATGAAAAAGTATGTAACTTTTGTGATGAGAAAGGAAAGAGCTTAATTTTTATATATGATAATAGTGTGAAATATGAATGGAATCAGACATAGTAGTTCGGAGAGACGGTCCAAGTTGGATGGATAGTGAGACACTATTATCTATTGAGAGCAGTAGGATTAAGAAATAAATGGAAAACGTCAACTACTCGCTTTTCTTTGTAGATAAAAAATCCTTTTGTATTAATTTGGGGTTAGATATATCGATTTGATAGTCGTAAAAAATCGCATGAATGTTAAATTTCGAGATATTCCAGTTCAGAGAGAATATTAGTTGGATTACTTCTCAACAAAAGATGTGTAAACCAAAGCGTCAACAATAAAAGACACGACAAAAAGACAGAAAAAGCGTGAAAGATAGTGCAAAAGCAAAATATAAAAAACACACGAAAAACCGCCAACGTAAACCAATGTCTTCAGTGAGTTGATATCTCACAACAGACCTGGTTGAACTCCACTGGTAACGGCTTCTCACTAGAACTCCAGGAAATGCCTCTTCAAGTCAGTCACCAGTGAGCAGATGATTATTATCAGAAGGTGTTTTGTGGAGATTTTTACAAATTTCAATAGTTGAAATCATGAGTCAATTGAAGCTAGACCACCATGGAAAACCTGGAAGCACTGGACGGCCGTTTCGTCCTAGTATGGGACTGCTCAGCAGTGCGCATCCACCATCCCGCCTCTCGAGACATTCGAACCCAGGACCTATCAGTGTCGCGCGCGACCACCTCATAATTAGACCACTGAGTCGGCATCCAACGGTGTTAATGTCTAACTTCAACCAATCCACGAAGTTGCGCCACCGTACACCATTGTCTTCAGTGAGTTGATATCTCACAACAGACCTGGTTGAACTCCACTGGTAACGGCTTCTCACTAGAACTCCAGGAAATGCCTCTTCAAGTCAGTCACCAGTGAGCAGATGATTATTATCAGAAGGTGTTTTGTGGAGATTTTTACAAATTTCAATAGTTGAAATCATGAGTCAATTGAAGCTAGACCACCATGGAAAACCTGGAAGCACTGGACGGCCGTTTCGTCCTAGTATGTGACTGCTCAGCAGTGCGCATCCACCATCCCGCCTCTCGAGA